TAGATATTTCATATTAAAATACTCTTTTGATCAATAGAACCTGTTGGGCTCCACTTACACATATGAACAAATGATGAGAATACAAGCTAAAACAGTGAAAAGGACAGTATAGAGAGGCGACAGCAGTTTCCCTCACAAGCAAATTTGTTATGGCCAGTAATTTACCAAACACCAGTCCTTTGAAAAAAGCTATACTTGACGGCAACGTTGATTTATCAATTGACCTAATGACTCAAGGTGTAGTCATCAATCTCGCCGCGTCTGTCTTTGAAGGCAAATTCAATATGTCTCCCATGTTACGTGGCGATCGCGAACGACTGAAGTTAATAATTAGAAAAAATATCAAAGAGGTTGCACGACTTCTGATAAAAAAAGATTCCGATGTTAATGTACCTAATAAACACGGCCAGACCCATTTATTCTTGGCATCAATCAATACAAAAGAAGAGGTTGCACGACTGCTGATCGAAAAAGGTGCTGATGTCAATGTATCTGACAGTAAGAGACAAACTCCATTATTCTTCGCAGCCAAAAATACAAACGAAGAGGTCGCACGACTGCTGATTGAAGAGGATGCTGATGTCAATATTTCTGATAAGAATGGTAAAACTCCTTTATTCATTGCAGCTGAAAATACAAACGAAGGGGTTGCACGACTGCTGATCGAAAAAGGTGCTAACGTCAATGTTTCTGATAGCTATGGTCAAACTCCTTTATTCATTGCAGCTGAAAATACCAACGACGAGGTTGCACGACTGCTGATCGAAAAAGGTGCTGATGTCAATGTTTCTGGTAGCTATGGTCAAACTCCTTTATTCACTGCAGCTGAATATACAAACGAAGGGGTTGCAAGACTGCTGATCGAAAAAGGTGCTCATGTCAATGTTTCTGATAGGAATGGTCGAACTCCTTTATTCACTGCATTCACAAACGAGGTTGCGCGACTGCTGATCGAAAATGGTGCTGATGTCAATGTTTCTGATAGGAATGGTCGAACTCCTTTATTCACTGCATTCACAAACGAGGTTGCGCGACTGCTGATCGAAAATGGTGCTGATGTCAATGTTTCTGATAGGAATGGTC